TATAAAGACATTCTATAGTATATTTACTATCAGCATTGCACCCGTGCAAAGCATAGTGTACAAATAATACCATTAAACCAATTCCTTAACCCCTATCCCGGTATGTTTGTGTGTTTGAAGAAGTTTCACTTCAGTAGCGTGTTGTATAATTACACGTTGTATTTATTTATTTATTTTGCTCATTATTATGACCCACATATTGAAAAACACTGATCTACGATCGCCAAGTACGATGTAGCCTAGGCTCCAAAAAAAATCCCGATGTTAGGGCAGAATATTGATATTTTTATTAACAGTGATTGACAATTGTATTTATTTAGTGCGATTGTCTTCTTATCATCATTATTATTGAATTGAACAGTCAGAACAAAAGGCGACGATTTTGCGGCCGATGAAAAGCGCTTGCGTTTCCTTCGTCGTCCACGTGCATCGTTATTGCCCGCGAGAAAAGACGCGCAATCCGCTTCACCTGTCGCAACCGATCGGAACGTGACGCTCGGGATGAACGCGACGCGTAACATGTTATGCTTGTTCGGTCGGCTCTAATAACTTTCGGGTGGATAATTTTAGGTTTGAAAAACGAAAAGGAGAAATTGTTTTTTCTTTTGTTATAACCAAGTTAGTTTTCGTGATTATTATAAATACAAAGTTATACAAAAGGAAATATACACCTATATGTATAAGTGAAAGGGTACCCACCCTGAAAGTCAAAAGAAGGTAGTAGAACTTGATAATTTTGCGTGTCATCTTTTTATTTAAAAGTTTGAGATTGGCTAGGAACTTTTTATTGATCGGAAAAAATTGTTGATTAAATTGCTTATTTCATAAAATTTCTATATATAAATTTCTTTTTGTAAAATGTTTATAGTTTACTCATATAGACTTTTTTTATTGCTTTGTTTTCGACTGTTTTCTCTTCGTTTGTTTAGAAAACAGATAATTATTTCAGTAGATGAGTCCTCTTAGGTGATTTTCTTTTTTTTTTTACAATACTAGGCACCTGCTCTTCAAATGTTTTTTTCAAGTACTAATTTATGTTTCGGCCTTCTCTTTGTTCAATATTTTTGGTGAGAGGATGAATTAATTAGCGTTCAAATGAAAGTAAATTTGAAAAGCCAGAACTAACACACACAGTACTTAAAATAACAATATTAACCGAAGATTCGACTTTGGATACAGACTTGATGCTTTTTGTATCTACTTTTATTGTGTTCAGACATGACGACGACGTTTTTCGTTTTTGTTTACACGAAGCAAAAAAGTGAATGCTTTGACGTTGACCTTACTTTTTTGGTTGATTTTCCGTTTTTTTTTTAAGGAATAATCAAGAGTAGGTAAAAAATTTAATCGGACATCTATCTGTATATGTACAACAAAGATAAACAAGCTGCTGACTGATGAAATTAAGTAAATTTTTATCTTGTTATATTTACTGGTATTCCTTTTTGTTTATCCATAGCCAATACATTTATGTTGTTTAGAAAAGTAACTAACCGTACAAGATTCTGAAATAAAACTCCTTAGCATTTTAGTAGTTTCATATTTCTAAAGCAAAAAAACGGACAGACAGACACACGAGTGATCTATAACGGTTCCGTTTTTCATTCTGACTTAAAAAGAAAAAAGGTTCAGCTTCGGCCGGGAATGGAGACCTAGCCCGCCTGTATGCAAACCAAGTATTTATATCACTGATCCATTTACGCTTGTTGTAGATTGCTACATTAGTATACTTCATTTAGTTTACTTTCTCTAGCGATGTGCCCCTTCCAATGTCTTGGATGCGCGCTGGCAAAATCGTAGGTAGGGAGAAAAAAGCTCATTATACTCTCGCCTTTTGTTCATTAAACATACTCTTTCATACAGTACCTGCCAAAAGTTTTGTTCAATCATGAATAGTAGTGCGAGTCGAAAACAAGCGTTAAAGCCTTTAATATGTCTTCAAATATAAATAAACATCTCGTTGATATTTTCAGTAGTAAATGGTACCAATAACAGCACATTTGAGCAATGCAATTGTA